CAAGGGGCCGGGGAGCTGGCTCAGTGGAATAAGCGCTTGCCTGGCAAGCGCAGGGGCCTGAGTTCAATCCCTGGTTCCGCAAAAAAAAAAAAATAATAATAATAATAATAATTACAACAGCAGCTAATACACACTGAACAGTTCCTCTGTGCTAGACACTGTGCCCAACACGGCAGAAATCATCTTATTTAATTTTTGCGAGAACCCAAAGAGGTAGGTCCTATACTATTCTCATTTTAATGGTTCAGAAAACAAAACTGCAAAACATAAAAGTCAACACTGGAACTTGGGCCCAGACGCCTGATCCCGGATCCATATTCACCCTTGTACTTTCTATGCGTAAAGCACCAAGCTAGACATGAGAGGTAAACTGATTAAACCCAGACCCCTCTCCCACCCTCAAAGGGTCTACAGTCTGGTGAAGAGCAGAAGCATCCTCATATGAGCCCCCAATTAATGCAAAAGATCCAGTTGCAGCCTGTGCTTGAAGAAGAGGTGGGTGTGTGGCAGCAGATTCTAGGGGAGATGCCTGGCGCCGAGCGCCCGGCCCCACCTCTGACTCACCTGTCTACCCCCAGTGCTGAGCCTCAGGCCTACACAGGCCGATTGCTTATTGGATGTTTCCTTACCCATCGGAGCCAAGTTGCCTTCCACCCCATCTCTCTTGCAAACTCTTCTGCCCCAGAGTAACTTAACAGCACTTCCTGCCCAGGGCTTCCAAGCGCCTTTTTAGGTCTCCTGTGACTTTCCTGAAAGTGTAGCAGATGCTTCTCTGCTGATGATGAGAGATTCAGACAAACCACTTAATGATTAAGAGACTAGAAGTGTTCTCTAGGAGGTGGGGAAGCCTTGTTCTTGCTTTCTCTGCCTGCATTCCCTGGGTGGACCTAAAGGCTTTGAGCCACTTGTTGCCTTTTTAGGAAGAAGGGGGTGTAGGGTGAGCACTGGAGAAAAGCAGAACATTTAGAGGCACGGACTGAAGGAATGGAGTGTTTGGACTTCAAAATGAAGTTGCTAGATTCCTTGAGCCACACAGTGGACAGTGCTTGAGCATCCTTGGGCGTCTTGGGTGATGGTTGTTGATGGCTGAATCTTCCAGTTTGAATAGTTAGTTCTCAAGGCTGACAGGATAGACCGTCTAGTGCAGTCTCTTCATTTTACACATAAAAGCTCAAGGTCTCACAGCTAATTTGTGGCAGAGGGACTAAAGCCCAGGTCCCTTGACTGGGCAGCCCACAGCTAAGATTTTTCCTACGCCTCAGAGTATGTGGGCACACCCAGGAGAAAGAAGTGCTCTAACCAGCTGTGGCGGGTGGGCTGCTGTGAAGCGGAGCTATGCTGCCACGGAGGGACGGGGCCCTTCAGAACCTCACTGCTCGGCACCCTGAGCGCTGTGGCCATGGAGCGTGAGACTGAGAAGCAGCAACGACAGATGGACAGGCTCCTCCAGGAGACAATGTCCTGGCTCTCCCTGCTGTGGCAGTAGGCCCACCCTTTCAAGCACCGGCTGAGGCTTTGAGTGCATTGCTGTTGAGCTCAGATCTACCTTATCAGCCCATACGTTGGAAGTCAAGAGGGGCAAGCTGGTTTCCGCTACTTTCCAACAGCTGTGACCTCTCCCGCACCAGGGAGCTCATTACGAGCCAGAGGCCCTAGGGCGGCCTCTCCAATAGCAGGTAGAGGGAAGACAGTGAGGCGCAGGCTGTTCTGCAGCACCTTGTCTCCCTAGTTTATTAACGTCCAAGGTCTCAAACATTCCTAATGAGGATAAAAGGCTAGAAAGATGCGTGGAAATGGAGGCTGAACCCTCCTGGGTGGAAGGCAAGACACCAAGAGGGACTGTCCCCATGGGACTGAGCTGAGTCTCAGCTTCCCAGAGAGGGAGGGTGGCTACCAGGAGATGCGACTGCCTCTATTTGCTTAGCTTCCACCTCTCTATTACTCAAAATTAACCAAGTTATTTTGCTTTGTCAATAACCTAATCCTCTGCTGCCTGCCTGTGCAGGGACAAAATATTCCCCTCCAGCCCCTGAGCCAAGAGCAGTCAGCTTCCCAAAGGCCCAAGGAGGCCCATTCACCCACATGGAAGCTCCCAGAAAGAGCTCCAGGTCTCCTGGCCCTCTTTCTTCTCAGCCCCATGTCACAGCATTGTCCTGAGCCCAGTCCCCTTGTCTGTGTGGGCAAATTGATGGAAGATGGAGGTCGCTGTTGGGCGCAGGGCCTGGGGACTGCACACTGCACTACAGATCCAGCACTCAAATACCTCCCCTCCACACATGCACAATCCTGAGACAGGACAGCCAGAGGGGGCCCTGCAGAAAGATGGGGTCCTGTTGGCCGAGATCCCCTGGAGGGAGCCATCCTGAGAGCAGTTCCTAGAGTCCTCAGAGATCCTCTTTCCCCTGAGGGATCCCTCCAGGCCTAGGCAAATCTCCAAAGTCTG